CAATGTTCTTAATACACAACTCCTGAAACAATAACTTAACACAAACTATGATTGGGCTTACAATACCCAACGGGTCAAATAATCCTGCAAGAACACTTAGTATGTTTCGCTTACTAGAAATGAGTGTTTTTGCTCTTTCAGCCAATTTCCACAGGCAAAACACAAATTGATCTGATTTACACACCCATCCCAATCCCAGTACCTTCTCAAAACTTCCACTACTACTATTTTCCCCAACAGATGCTTTTGCGTAAGTTTGATCATCAACCACATTCTTCATAACTACATCTACCTTTCTCCCTCTAAATTGCTTCCTTTCTCTCCTTTCTATTTCTTTAAGAACATCATTACTGAGCCACTTTCTAAGCTTAAACCCTGCAGCCATTTGCTTACTTGCTGTCTCATATAACATGATTGCTGCTTTCCTCGATTGATCACCTGACACAAGGTCATCTACATAAAAGCTGTCTCTGAGTTTCTAACAAATTTCTATCTACTTCCATGAATGAGTCTAAATGATACTGTAGCGTTGCATTCAACAAAAATGGAGAGCAATTAACCCCAAACACTACTCTACAAAACCGGTATTCCACAGGTCTTACCCTTTCACTATTCACATCATCTACCCATAAAAATCTTAGGCAATCCCTCTCCAAAGTGTCAACTGCAATGTTCAAAAATGCCTTTTCAATGTCTGCCACTAAAGCAACTTTTTTCTCCCTAAACCTTATCAAAATGTGAAATAACAATGGTGCTAATTTGGGTCCCACATGCAAACAGTTATTAAGCAAGGAATCGTTTGGTGACTCTTTACATGACGCATCATAAACAACTCGTACCTTGGTTGTCTTTGCATCTTTACGAATAACTGCATGATGTGGTAGGTAAGGTATTTTATTGGCTCGCTCTAATTCTATGACTGGTTCTATAACACCGCTACTCAACTGATCCTTGATTGTTTTGTCTGTCATACTCATTCAAAATGTCTGGTTCTTTCTTCAGCCGGACTAACTGACCTTTCAATCTTTTCAAGCTTACATTAAAATTTGTAGAATCTAATCTATGTCCTTCCTTCCAAGGCAATTTAACACTGTATCTTTTACCATTAAACACAATAGAATCCTTCAAAGATTCGTGAATCTTGTCCTCTTTAACTATTCCTATAGTTTAAAATCCCACAAGCGATTGACATTCATATCCAAATTTAAATTGCTAGAGCTTTCATGAGCAATGAAGTTTACTTGAGTGTGCAAGTTATCTAAATCGTTTCTAGCTTTCATGAGCAATGAAGTTTACTTGAGTGTGCAAGTTATCTAAATCGTTTCTAGCTTTCATGACCAAATGAAGTTTACTTGAGGTGCAAGTTATCTAAATCCTTCTAGCTTTCTCATGAGCAAATGAAGTTTACTTGAGTGTGCAAGTTATCTAACTGTTTCTAGCTTTCATGGGCAATGAAGTTTACTTGAGTCTAAGTTATCTAAATCAATTTCTTAGCTTCATGAGCAATGAAGTTTACTTGAATGTGCAACATTTAAATCGTTTCTAGCTTCTCTATGAGCAATGAAGTTTACTTGAGTGTGCAAGCTATCTAAATCGTTTCTAGCTTCATGAGCAATGAAGTTTATTTGAATGCAAGTTATTTAAATCGCTCTTAGCTTCATGAGCAATGAAGTTTACTTGAGTGTGCAAGTTATTTAAATCGTTTCTAGCTTTCATGAGCAATGAAGTTTACTTGAATGTGTAAGTTATTTAAATCGTTTCTAGCTTTTATGAGCAATGAAGTTTACTTGAATGTGTAAGTTATTTAAATCGTTTCTAGCTTTCATGAGCAATGAAGTTTACTTGAATGTGCAAGTTATCTAAATCGTTTCTAGCTTTCATGAGCAATGAAGTTTACTTGAATGTGTAAGTTATTTAAATCGTTTCTAGCTTTCATGAGCAATGAAGTTTACTTGAATGTGTAAGTTATTTAAATCGTTTCTAGCTTTCATGAGCAATGAAGTTTACTTGAATGTGTAAGTTATTTAAATCGTTTCTAGCTTTCATGGGCCTGGACAACACCCAACCTAATTTAGTAAACACAGCCACCGGTTCATCTAACTGTCCCCGAACAACATTTCCTTCCTGAAACCACCAAAGATAATCAGCTCTGACCAAAACCTCAATTTCCAAAACATCCTTATCCTTGCAAACATCTGAAAACCACAGACCTTTTAAATGAGAATAATCCCTTTTTCTCAACTCCACATGTTCATTTTTAAGTTGAGATATACAGTATACACTATATGCTTCAATATACACACTCTCTTTCCCCGTAACTGA